ACGTGAGCACATAGTCAAGTCCAGGCAACTCGAATAATCGTGACCTCTCAGAAATGTTGGTGAACCGTCGTTAAGTAGGGTAATATCGAATTTGTCCATAATGTTTTCAATCGAACGCCCTCTCGCATCCGTGTGATCACTTCCCCATATTGTGTTGTGGGCGTTAAAGTCACCACATACAATACCCGAAGGAAAAATCCATCAATGTAACCCTGCTTGGCAGTCGATGTTTTCTAGTGGACCGCTGACTGTGCCTGACTGTACGTCAAGCATGTCTGATTGGCCAACAAGTTACTCTGACCGACAGTCAAACTCCAGTCAGACCCCGCTTGTCAGCTTTCTGATGGTTTCCTGGTGGCAGTCGGCCGCCGCGAAATGCCATCAGGATGTCTTGGTGGTGATTCTGACTGTACATCGATTGTCTCTGACTGTACGTCAGAAAGCTTTGACGTGCAGACAGACGTACGGTCAAAGGACGTAAAGTTCGTTCGGATACCACTATTTCGTCAAATCTATGAATACGAAAAGTAATCTATGCACGAGAAAACGATTTTGGGACGAGAGCCCATAAAACCGCTGACGTTAGAGATATGACACGCAACCAACCGACAACCTTGATCAGAAGGCCGCGGAAGCGCCGAACACGACACTTCGCACTTCGCCGACTTCGCTTCGCCCATAGAGGCTTCGCCGAGCTTTCATGAACGATCGCTCTCGACTCGGTTTGTTTGCCCGCTTGCTTTAACCTGTCGATCCTGCCCGGGCTCTACAATGTCTTATGTTTTAGTAGAATTTCTACTCGACAAGACCCAGCCTGTTGTGAGTTCCGACGATGTAAGGGACTTAAGCGGTGTAGTTGAAGACGACAGGGTGTACCAGGTCTACTGGGCCGGTGATGCGCGAACAAAAGGATCGTTCTACGACGCGAAAGTACTCTACATGGCAGGTGAGTAGAACTGAAGTACGGCGAGTGATGTACGAGTGCTTTGCATAACATGCTGACGGCTTAACTGCATTTGCAGCCAAAGCATTTTGTATAAAACGAATAGTCAAATCGAGTTTCTCTAACGGTGGGGCGTAGCATGGATTCCAATTTCGAACGCGGGAGCGTGCGCACGTGGAATGGATCGCTCCGCTGTGAGCTCGATGACGGCGGCTCTGAGCCGCGGTGATGCCGTACGCGGCGATGTTCCCAACGACTACGCAGTGATACTGCCTACTCTGCCGACAGGAGAAGCCATGAAATGCAGCCTTGTGCTGCACGCTGATACCCGGGGGCGGCCGTACCGTGCTGAAGACTTCGTAGGACCTCTGAACCAGGTGGGAGTTCGGGAAGACGTAACAGGACTTGGCGCGTTTCAAATGGGGCACGTCTGGCTGCTAAAGCTGCACAACGCCTCCGCCAAAGAGAAGCTTCTGCGAGAGGGGACCATGCTGGTGAAGGGGCGACCATGCCTGGTCATTGATCCAGAAAAACGAGAGCTGAAGGTAAAAGTCCACTGGGTGGCATTCGACGTAACTGCAGACACCCTTTGACGGGCCTTCGAGACAAACGGGGAGGTCAAGGGTGTCACCCGAGAGAAGTGGAGAATCGAGGGCCTGGCAGACGTGGATTCCACTACCGTCATCGTCCGCATGGTGCTCCGCGAAGGCGTAACACCGGAGTCCCTGCCGCATCAGCTCCGCCTCTACGGAGGCCCGCTCCTGGTTGTCGTCCCCGGACGGGCGCCGGTGTGCCTCCGCTGTCGACGCACGGGACATATACGGCGCGACTGCAGAGTGCCGAGGTGCGAGGAGTGTCGAGCCTTCGGGCATGAGGCCTCGGATTGCGTACGGTCGTATGCTCGAGCTGTTGCCAGCAAGACCACCGACAGCCAGGACAGAAACCTCGTAATGGACGAGGAGGAGGCCGAGGCGGCGGCGACTCCAACCGCGAGGATTTCTTCGCAAGACCGTCAAGAGTCCGGTGAGCAGGAACACGAGCTGACGGCGATGCCAAAAGGCCAGGTCTCCACCGTAACGTTGACGGCAGAAGGCACTGTCGGTGAAAATGAGCCTAACGCGAAGAAGACCAGTGAAACGACACCAGCAGCTAAGGACGCGACTGACGCACCGGACGCCGGAGATTTATTTATTTATTTATTTTCATACTCTCAATGCCCGGAGGCTCTACAGAGAGGAGTGGGTGGTACAGATGAAATCGTTGACAAGCTTCTTGAAGTATGTGACGTCCTGGATGGACACGATGGAGGCAGGGAGGTGGTTCCATTCGCTAGATGTTCTTGGAATAAAAGAGTCAAAATAGATGTTCGTATGACATGTCGGCGTGCCAACCTTACACTGGTGATCGTGGCGAGGTGACACATATGACGGATGAAAAAGTAGTTGATCTTTTAGAATTGGATTAGAATAATAGACTTTATGGAAAAGACAAAGACGAAAGTATTTACGGCGTAAAGCAAGGTCAGGTAAGTCCAAAGTTGTCTTCATTGATGAAACACTAGCAGTACGAGAATAATTAGAAAGGATAAAACGGGCTGCTCGGTTCTGGACTGATTCGAGAATGTGTGATAATGTTACATGACCCGGATCCCAAACAGAACAGGCGTATTCGAGTTTTGGCCTGACTAAGGCTTTATATAATTGCAGTTTGACGGGAAGATTAGCGGAACGAAAATGGCGCCGCAAAAACCCAAGCATACGATTAGCATTATTAGAGACATAGTCGACGTGCATGTTCCAGGAAAGGTTATGAGTTATGTGAATACCAAGATACTTGTATGAAGCAACAGCATCTAATGGTATATCATTAAGGATGTATATGGCAGGGTCAGTGTTTTTAGAGAGTCGCGAAACACGCATGCTTTTACATTTAGTAACGTTAAGCTTCATTAGGGATTCAGCGCACCAAGAAGAAACTACGTCGAGGTCTGACTGTAGTATAGCACACTCTTGGGCACTAGTAATTACGCGATAAAGTACACAGTCATCCGCGAACAATTTAATAGAGGAGACAATTTGCGATGGGAGGTCGTTAATGTAGACTAAAAACAAGAGAGGCCCTAGGACAGATCCCTGTGGTACCCCGGACGTTACAGGAGTAGTAGAAGAATCATGCGCATTGACAGAAACATATTGTGAGCGGTTAGATAAAAAACATTTAATCCAGCCCAAGATGTTAGGATCGATATTAAGTTTACTCAGTTTCAAGAGAAGTAGGTCGTGCGAGACAGAATCGAAAGCCTTAGCAAAATCTAAGAAAATGCAGTCAACTATTAGCCCGGCATCAATGGCAACCATCAGGTCATTAGTAAACGATACGAGCTGTGTTTCACAAGAAAAAAATTTTCGGAACCCGTGTTGACAATTAGTAAAAAAGAATTGGACTCGAGAAAGGCAACAAGGTGAGAGTAAATGATATGTTCAAGTAATTTACACGGTACACTAGTCAATGATATGGGCCTGTAGTTAAGTGGGGAGTGAGCAGTACCTGATTTATGCAAAGGAACCACCTTCCCTACCTTCCAATCGTTGGGTAACGTGCAACACTGCAACGACTGTGAAAAAATTTCGGAAAGAATCAAAGATGAATAGGTGGCGGTACTCTTCAGGAATTTTGAGTTGATTCCGTCAATCCCAGCACACGCAGAAATTTTAAGCTTCTGGATTAAACAGTCGACACCAAATGAATCAATACTAACAGGAAACATAGGACCATAATTAGGGCTGAAAACAATGGGGTAACAGGTAGGAGTCGTGTGGGAAAAATAAGAAGCAAACACATCATTCAGGACATTGCAACAATCGTTTAGATCTACAGGAACATTATTCGCATCACAAAGCTCAACCGCACTGGATCTACTACCGCTGACCACGCTCCAAAACTTTCGTGGGTTATCTTTTAAAAGAGAAAAAAGTGTACACTGATAAAACTCCTGCTTTGATTGTGCGACAGCTTGTTTATATTCCGTATCAGCAGCTTCGTAAGCGTCCCAGCGCTCAGCACTTTTTGTCAATTTTGCGCGCCGAAATAACCGTTTCTTTTTATTTCGCAGACGCTTAAGGCGTGCGTTAAACCAAGGTGCCTGTGAATTAGAGTGGATGCGCTTCAGAGGGATGTACTGGTCAGTTAGGTCACTCACTTTTTGCTTGAAGAGAGACCAATTTTCTTCAACCGTTCGCGTATGAAAACGTGAGATGTAATCAGTTAGAAACGTGTCTAATTCATTATTAATTGAAACAAAATCGGCATTTCTGTAGTCACGAATAATCTTAAATGCTTTATATGAGGAAGCAGATGCCTGCAGGTCGAACTGAATAACACAATGGTCACTTAAACCTGGTAAGTATGTTAAGGGAGACACAAGCTCAGGGGTTGTAGTGAGAATGAGGTCTAATACATTGGAAGAATGAGATGAACATCGTGTAGGCTCTTGTACAAGTTGCTTTAAATTAAAATCAAGACAAAGGCTTAGAAACGAAAGAGCCTGTAATGAGTGATCACTTACTGTGGGGGTGTCACTTTTCCAGTTAATTGTGGGAAAATTAAAATCCCCCAGAAGAAGCAAAGACGAAGAAGGAAACCGTACTACCAATCTATTTAAGACATCGTGAAGCTCAGAGCAAAATGTACTAGACGAAGCGGGGGGTCGATAGCAGGCGCAAAAAATAAAATCCTTGTTTCTGACATGTACACGGGCACACACGAACTCTAATGATAGATTAAGTGGTATAACGCTCGATATTATAGAATCACGAACAGCGATAAGAACACCGCCACCTGAGCGCGAGTCACGATTGAAACGATAAAATTTGTACATACCTTCACACTCAAAAATTTCACTGTCAGCAATTTTACTAGAAAGCCACGTTTCGGTCAGGATAACAATATCAGCTGTACACGTGTCGATAAGAGATGACAAAGCGTCGCGTTTGTTGCACACGCTTCGCACGTTAGAATACAATATTGAGATAGCGTTAGTCGCCGGGCCTTTACATAGTTATGTTGATGACGCGTGTGAATTATAATTGCTTGGACCAGGTGCGGAAACTGCGTTATCGGTGCCCGGTTGCGGCGCGGAAACTGTAATATTGGCACCCGGAGGGAGAGACGCGGCGTTGTTAGCTTCACGAGCGTGACTAGGAGTCACTTCGCAAACACAATCTGTTACAGGGCAGTAAGTATACACCTTTTGATTAACGTGCAGCCTGTTTAGTTTGAGCGAGAACCTCTGACCGGTGCCTTTACCGAAATCGATTAACTTTTTACGTAACTGCCGCGTAGCCGGACAGAAATCCTCACTGACTGAAATTCCTGTTCCTTTCAACTTAAAACGCTGAGAAAACACATTCGCCTTGAATTTAGAGGAAGAGAATTTAACAATTATTGGCCGGCATTTATTAGTTGAGTATGAGCCTAATCTATGAGCACGGGATATTGCCTCGCCAGGTAGATCTAGTCCTAATATTGTGGAAAGATTATCGCGGATATGAGATTCTGACTGCGACCAGTCTTCGGAAAGGGTGTCGGCGATACCGTAGAAAAGTAAATTGTCACGACGGGATCTATCTTCAAGCTCATTAAGTCTTGAATTCAGAACGGTAGTTTCGCCTCGGACGGCCTCACTAACAACATTAGACAGTTCAGTAGGATGCTTTGGCACATCTAGTAATTCTACAAGTGATTCGACTGCTGCAAGTCTTGAATTGATGTCTAACACTTTTAGTTCTAGCTGATGCTGGTTATCTTTGACCTGATTTAGCATGTCAACCATTTCGGTATGACGCGCATCGTTTTTAGAAGACTGTTCAGCAATGGCAGCCAGAATATCAGCGTTAGTGATAGGGCCGGGGTTTAATTCAACGTCCCCAGACAACAAAAGTAACTTAAAAACGTGAACACACATATAAGCAATTCTAAGAAAAACCAGCGGGCACTGGAGGAGCAGCAGAAAGCCATTACAGGATCGGTTAACGTGAAAAGATGGGTATTTACGAACCTGCAGAATGAAGCAGAAGGGATTTTGAAGCGACCGCATAGCCGCCGCTCCTCTGTGCCCACTGAAAGCGTCCTGCGGTGACCAGGCGCTTAAATTCGCAGAGAATCCTGCTGTCGTTGACGATGATGCTGGCTTGGTGAAGGGGAGGGACGAAACTGTGGCATCGAACACGGGCGCGATGTGGTCACCGATAGCCGCCAGGAATACAGTGCATGATGACGGTGCAGAGATGGTGGCTGGCTGTCGAGGAGGAGGTAGCCCTGTCCCAAGGAAGGCCAAAATCTGCAGAATGAAGCAGAAGGGATTTTGAAGCGACCGCATAGCCGCCGCTCCTCTGTGCCCACTGAAAGCGTCCTGCGGTGACCAGGCGCTTAAATTCGCAGAGAATCCTGCTGTCGTTGACGATGATGCTGGCTTGGTGAAGGGGAGGGACGAAACTGTGGCATCGAACACGGGCGCGATGTGGTCACCGATAGCCGCCAGGAATACAGTGCATGATGACGGTGCAGAGATGGTGGCTGGCTGTCGAGGAGGAGGTAGCCCTGTCCCAAGGAAGGCCAAAATCTGCAGAATGAAGCAGAAGGGATTTTGAAGCGACCGCATAGCCGCCGCTCCTCTGTGCCCACTCATGGTACAGCAATGGACTTCGCGACCGAGGCGATCGAGCGGCGGCTCAGCGACCCGGAGCAGGGAACCGACCAGACGCTCCAGCAGACTGAGGGACCCTGATTCATAGTGACGAGCAAGAGGGGACGACGCGCTGGCCGCAGCCGTTCTTCGTCTCTTCCCAGGTAGGGCGAGAAATGACCCAAGCGTACGAGGTCTGAGACTCGCTTTCCGATGGTTTCCCTTGAAAACGCCTTGCGCGTGGCTACGTTGAACGTTCGCGGACTTGCAGCCAGACGACGGCAGCAACAGCTCTACCGGCTGTTCACCGAGCATGACCTGGACATCGTCGCTATTCAGGAAACCAAAGTCGAGAGCGAGGACCAGACTGACTGCATGGTACGGCCTTTTCTGGCGCGGTATGAAGTCTGCGTGAGTCATGCTGTTGGTTTCTCGGCTGGCTGCTGCCTGTTCCTCAGAAAATCTCTAGGTGCTGCCGTGCAAACCGTCACGACCTGCCCATCTGGGAGGTTTGTCATGTGTGATTTTTCTGTTATGGCAAATGAATGGCGTGTCATTTGTGTTTATGCACCTAATGAGGCTGAGGAGCGCCGGGTTTTTTTCCAAAACGTTTACCAACATTGCCAGTCCGATCGTTTTCTGATCATTTTGGGTGACTTCAATTGTGTCTGCCGAGCTGAAGACAGGTCCAACCGAACGCGCTATAGGGATGCCAGTACCCTAGAATTAAATAACATTATTGAAGATTTTGTTCTGGAAGACGTCGCATGTTGTGTGCCTCGGTCAAACTGTATGCCTTTCACGCACTTTCAGGGTGTCAGTCACGCGAGACTGGACCGGGCGTATATTGCATCGGATCTGGTATATTTGTGTCGGAGTTATTCTGTAGACTACGTTGCTTTTAGCGATCACTGCCTTGTCACATTCCAATTAGGTAAAAAGAAAGAGGGGGCCAGTTTCTCATGGGAATTATGGAAAATGAATGCAAAACTTTTAAAGGATGAACCATTCCTTTCCTGTATTAAGACAATCTGGAGGGACGCGCAACTGAAAGGAGGCAGTGCAAGCGAGCGCTGGGAAACATTTAAACAGGAGGTGAAATTAACTGCACTTGAAAGGACATGCCTCCTAAAAAATCAGGAGAAGAGTCAAGAATTGGAGTACCGAAAAAACTTAGACAAGCTGCTACAGGAAGAATGCCGGGCACCCGGCGTTTTCATTGAGGATATTAACCACCTGAAAGCCAAACTCGAAAATCTCGATCGCGACCGATACAGGGGGGCGGCAATACGGGCTCGTTCAGAGCGTTTTTTGGTGGGAGAGCAGCCGACAAAAAGAATGGTGGCGGCGGAAAAGAAATACGCGCGAGCTAATGATGTAGTTGAAATAGAACACTTAGGAGTTTTGTCCAGCGACAAAAGTCATATCGAAGAGGCGTTTGTTCAGCACTATAAAAAGCTGTTTAGTTGTAGCGCCCCACCACTGTCAGGATTTAAAGATGACTTTCTGCCTCTACTGCCGAAGGTTGACGGAAACGATAAGGACTTTTTAGAGGAACCAATCAGCTTGTCAGAGGTAACAAAAGCGATAGATGACTTAAAACCCGGAAAATCGCCTGGGCCAGATGGCTTAATTGCTGGTTTTTACAAAACATTTAAACATGAAATTTCATCCGTGTTACTCGAAGTTTTCACCGAGGCATATGAAAGAAAAGCTCTCCCCCCCTCCTTTTCACGCAAACACACAGTGTTAATCCCGAAGTGTGACGATCCCGTTAAGCTTTGCAGTGTTAACTCCTACAGTCCAATAAGCCTTACTAATGTTGACTATAAAATACTAATGAAAGTCCTCGCTCGCCGCTTGCAGCGTGTGATAACGAGTGTTGTTGGGCCTCATCAGACGTGTGGCATACAGGGTCGGACTATTTTGACCAACATTCATGTTGCGCGCAGTATCTTGGAGTGTTGTGACGGTGAGCTGCGCAAAGTCGCCATGTTACAAATTGACTTGGAAAAGGCCTTCGATCGGGTGTCTCATGACGTTTTAAGCCAAATTTTGAAGCATATCGATATAGGACCTATTATTCTTGAAGGTGTGCAAATGGCATATTATAATTGTACAACGAGTCTTATTGTTAATAAGCGAGTCAGTGAACGCATTCCTGTAAAATCTTCTGTTAGACAAGGCTGTCCGCTCTCGCCATTACTGTTTGCGTTCTATATTGAACCATACTGCTTAAGTATCATTCGGAGTGAACATGTTCGCGGTTTTACCTTGAATGCGCGCGAGGTACGCATTTTGGCTTATGCGGACGACATTGCTATTTTTTGCACAGATAGCGAGAGTATTGAAAAAGCTATCGAAATCACTAAAACTTTTTGTACTCGGACCGGATGTTCAGTGAACTGGTCGAAATGTTCGGGGTTTTGGCACGGCCGATGGGCATCGAAGCCAAACTTTCTCGCTCAAATTGCCTGGTCAACCCTTCCCACCCGTTATCTTGGCGTACCATTGGAATACTATCGTGACAGCGTGGGTCTGTGGAGCGAAGAGACAAATAGGCTGCGCGAGAAAGCGGCCCCCAGTGCAGGCCGCCATTTGTCTATTTTCGCAAGAGCTACAGTGTGTAACTCATTTTTTGTCGCTAAGCTGTGGTATCTTCTACAGGTCTTGCATTGTTCTCGATTTCACATTCAGAAGTTGCATCGTGTATTCGCTGTATATGTGTGGGCGTCCAGCTGGGAGCGCGTCAGCCGGATGAATTTGTTTCGGCGCGTACGGCATGGTGGTCTTTCTTTATCACATCTTTTCATGCGCCAAATTGTTAACCGTTTTCTTTTCCTGCGTGATCAAGAGGATCCCCTTCTGCGTACTGTTCTTCAGGTTCAATTGTCGGGTGTCTTACCCAATTTCATCGTTTCATCCAGTGATGGTGCTACGGGACCACTGAGTGCTTATTTGAAGGAAGTTGTCGGTGCATACAAATTTTTAACCACGCGTTTCTCTTTAGAATATCTCAGTACTGTCTCTCGAAAGCGACTTACAAGAAATCTAATAGAAACGTCATTTCCAACCCCTTTGTATCGAGCTATTTACAGCGAGGCTTCAGGACAGGATGTACTTCGACGCGTTAAGAAAATGCTGGTCCCGGCCACAATGAAAACCTTTTTCTTTCAACTTCACAGCGGAACGCTTCCGGTTAAAACATGGCTGGACGAAAAGGGCATATTTGTTCCCTGGACTGTGAACTGTATCTTGTGCAAAAGGCCCGAGTCGAAAGAACATGTGTTTTTAGATTGTTGGGACGCAGTGTTCTACTGGGATGTACTGCAGCGAACTCTGAAAAAGGAACTTCCTCTAAGCGCACACGGGATACGTTTTCTGCCTGTTGCCCCAACCGACTCTGTACCGTATGATTTACTTATGGTTATTGGCTTACACAGTATCTGGAAGAGCCGCATGGCAGTGCGGCATGCTGATGTGGGTGCTCGACCAGTATGTCACTATTTTATTCAGAGCATTAGTCAGATTAGAGAAGTGTATAAGGTTTTGGGAGAAGGGCCTGATTGGTTGCCAGTTCTAGACGGACTGGTCACTTTAAGATCATGTTAATCAGAGTGCGTCAGTCGTAAGTCAGCTTGACCTTTTTCAGAAGTGCTTCTGAGGGTGTATTTTGTGAATGAATAGAGCCTGGCAATAAAGAAAAAAAAAAGGTGGGGCGTAGCATAGCGGTTAGGGTGTCCGATTTGTACGCATGTGGTCGCGGGTTCGATGCGCGGTGGTGCTGCTTTTTTTCTTTTTTTTTTTCTCGAACTTTTTGTTTTATCGAGGCATTTGGCGATATTTATGAGTGCGTATAGCTTTACTCTTATATAAATGCTGCCCTTGTTGATGAAATTCCCTTGGCAGTGGCAGTCAGACGTCATCTGATGGACCATCAGATGACGTCTGATGGTCCATCACGTTCCACCAAGGCTGCTGACTGGCAGTCAGTGTCCCAAATTACGTAGCTTGATGGAATTTTCAATAGGGTATAGGGCTCACTTAGGGTTTTTAAAACAGAAGAAAACGATACACTGGCACCAGGTTCAATGTAAACGCTTGACAAGCACACACTCACACGCCCGAATAGAACTTTGCAAGTAACATACTCCGGTGCGTCGCAGTCGTCAGATGAGGCCACTAGAGATGAGGGCAGGTCCTTGCGTACACAGAGCATGGCTCGGCTAAGTCCATTTAAACGCTGTGATTTGTATGTTACATAATTTGAAAGACGAAAATCATCATTTACTCTGGCCTCTGAGAGAGCCAAAATAGGAAATTGGTATTGGGCAATGAAATGACGGAAGTCACCGCTTTTTGAGCGTAATCCGTTTGCATTCCATTGAAATATGGCAGTTGTTTCATATGACTTATTCATAAGGTTGAGTTTGGAATCCCCGTGATGCAAGGGTAATCAGAGGTTCCATCGTTAGGAGAGTTTGTACCTCTTGTACATTTCGGATGTCCGGAAATGATCGTAAGATTGCTTTTAACGCAGCGAATACAAGTGGAAGGATGATCTTCTCTAAGCTGTCATTTTCTGATTGTATGTTCCTCGTAGTCGTACCACCGTCGTTTCTGCTCGCACGTTTTCTCCAAGGTGCAGGTATAGGTGAAGTGACAGTCTGCTTTGGTCGAGTTTCCTGTGCGTCCGGAGCTTGGGTTTTTTGACGCACTTGACTTTTCAGTGGGTTGCTTGTCAAAACTGTAGAGTACGTTCCCTTCGCCCCTTGTATGTGGGGAAAGTGCAATGGGTCTTGAAGACTTGGAACTGGAGTTGTGCGAATCATCTTTGGATTGGGCGGAGGCGATCGTCTCTTTTGTGGTCTTCCTTCTTGCAGTTCCTGTTTCCTCGACAGAGACGCAGTTTTCTTACTTGGGCATCCTCCGTACGATGCTGCATGGGGTCCAGCGCAATTCGCACAGAGAGGAGATTGTTTTAAACCGCATTCTTTA